CCTGAGAGTGGCATACCAGTCACTGGAATTGAGAGATGGAATGATGGATGCCATGGGAGCATGTTGCTGAAGCTCTTGGTCTAACCTCAGCACTGAGCAGATCCTGAGGAAGGTTCTTAGAGACACTTCAGTGGCCTTTTTAAGACATGAAGTGCTCTTTTTGGGTTTTGTGACAGATTTAGGTCTCAATTCTTTGCAAAAGGAACCCAGAGACAGGGAGTACTTCCTCTTTTCACAGTGGGAGGATTAAGCTTTTTCAGATTTTTGAGAGAAGTGGAGAGGCACTTCCAGCAGGACAGGTATGGGATTTTATGGTCTCAGACACCTCGCAAGAGGGGCAATGAGTAAACGCCAGAGATCCTGGCATAACCTCTCAGTCTGAAAGGAAGAGATCTCTCTTTGCAGGGTGCAGAAAAAAAACCCATAAAATGATTAAACAATAAAGAATTGTTAAAATGGGTACTACTATCTCACTGCACTTGTGAATGATCTGTTTACAAAAGAGAAACATCTCAATATAAGAGAGAAAACCATGACAGAGCACAAGGAGTTTCTCACTGCCTCTGGCTGCTTGTTAGAAGAACTGAAGGAGGGGTTGGAGTGGGTCATCCTGTATACCTCATGGCCCCAGGCGAACGAAGTGCAGAAAGCATATTCTACCCTGACAGGTATTACTACAGAGAACTGTGTAGCTCAACTGCACTGGGGATAAACACACCTAAGTGGAAGAGATGTGCAATCACTCGAAGAAGTAATCTTTTAAAAAAAAGGTGGGAGGAGGAGATATACTCTTCAGAACGATCCACTGATTTAAAAAAAATAGTTTCAAATAATTTTTTAAAAATAACACTGTAATAAAGCAAACATGCTACTAATAAGAGAAAGATAAGAATATTTAATTAAAATTAAGCAAATATGGCTCAGAAATGCTTGGTTACCCAAGCCAGAGTACTATAACAGTTTAGAATATGAAGACAAATCTGAATGGGCAGACTATTTATGGACACGTCTCTAATTTTCTCAAACATGTTATCCACTGAATAATTACTTGGTCCATAACATCTTTGTTCTGTTTCCATGCCCTTAACAACTTAACGTTTCAAACCAAGACTTATTAACTATATATTGTAGATTGAATTTATAAAAGAAAGTAAATTATAAAAATACAAAATCTTACTTGGCATCTTGTAAAAAAGTCTTTTTCCACTGCCATCATTGGTCTGTAAATATTTACTGTCTGAAGACCAGTCCATATGAGTGATGAAACTTACAGATCCAACACATTCCCCAACTTTTTTGTACCGCTGAACAACACCATAAATATCAACAGAGCTGTCATTGGAGCCAACCGCAAGGAAAGTCCCATCTGGTGAATATTTTAATTCATGAATGGCTTCTTTCCTGTCTTTAATATGAACAACCTCTGTCATATCCCTGTAGTGGAGAAAGAAAATGTGTCACAAGCATAAAAGAGAATATCATCATGTTGTCAAGCTCACAGTTTCAAGAATGTGCCTGACAAAATCTTCTTCTGAATTCAGAAATTTTACAATTCCTTGTACAAATGTAATTTTCTTAATATGTTTTCAGAGTAACAACATAAATAGCCTGTGAACCTGTGTTTGAAATTTAAGTTTAAATGCTTCCTTAGCATGTTTTCTACATAAAACAAAATAGAAATATGCATAAGAAAAAGTTTATAGTTTGTTTATAGTTTTCTAATCTTTGTACCTACCTGACTCGAAGTACAGTAAAAGAGCCATCCTTCATTCCAAGTGCAAGATGGATTCCATCAGTACTAACAGCTGCACAGCGAATTGGTTCTTCCATATTGCACCGTGCAATCAATGCATGGTCTATTAGGCTCCAAATTCTAAAATAAAATATTAAATAAAATCATTTAAGGAATGGCTGTTTTCCGATTTTAAAAAAGTGAAGATTTCAATTTAATAGGATATATTCTGAATGCAGCACTGCACCTATATTCTGAAGTCATCTGCTATCAACTTCCAAAACTAACAAAGTTACAAGCTTTGCATACAGCAATGAGTACCTGTATATTTAAGAGTACAATTGAGTACCTAATTTGTGAAACTGCAGAGGCAGACTCATTTTGTTAAGTACTTAAAGAACAGTACTTATTTCTAAAACCTGAATTTTCTATTGCTTAAAGTGTATACTATTCATTTAGTTAAAGATTATTGAATGAACAACTGAAAATTTTACAATACAAATGCCTCCCTTTCTATTATTTATCATTCATAATGTAGCACAACTTTCTGTATGTGACCAGATATCAATATAATTTCTAACTTATACTAATCATGCCTTTTCAAGAATGGAATTTTACAATAGTGTGTCAATTAATTTTTTATTATATTAGTGCATCTCCTAGCAGATTAGCAAAAAGGACACTACATTTTAATTTGAAAAATGTTTTAAAAAACTATGTAAAGAAGAATGATTTACTAGGATTTATTGGACTGTAGCCTTATTTAATAAATGTCACAAGTCAGATATGCAATTCTATCACATTTAAAAAAAACAACCATGATGTGAATAAGAATTATAAGGTACTGTACCACATCAGCCCAAAAGAAGGCATCTCAGTAATGCCTGATATAGGTTGGATGAAAGGTTCACTAAAGACATCAGTCAAAATTATTTAATTTGGGAGTTGTGGATGCTTCGCAGCACCTCTGAAACTTAAATCACTTCTTAGATACTCAAATATAAATTTAGGTGGGTAACTTTAGTTACCCAAGTTTGAAAATTTTGGCACTCATCTTATTTACTGTCATTGAAATTATGAAAGTAATCCCTTCCACCATTTGAGTTCGAATTAAGGCCTTGATTTCCATTTTGAAAACTACCCATTTCTGCCACTGTTTTCAGACCTCCATCAGCAAAGTAATCAGTATCTACAGTTACAAGAATAAATTATGTTGGTTCAATACCACAATATGACATGCCATAAATCATTTTGCATTTTTACATTTCAATTATGTTTTTCTAAAGATGAAGTCTCCTCTATAAAGCTATACATAATCTGGGTGGGGAGCTTAAGTTTGGTGTATTATTGTTGGTCATTTTGTTGTTGGGGGAGTGGGAAGCATTGTTGTTGTTGCTAACCTGACTGATCGGTCATCACTTCCAGTCATGGCCAATGGTTTTGTAGGATGGACTGCCAGAGCCCATAGCTCTCCTTCACAGTGCCCCTGCATGATCAGGAAAGGCTTATTGCGTTCATGGACAACAATCTCAAAAATTTCACTGTCTTGTGTCCCAACTAGAATATGGTCTCCTCGCCAGCAAACACTTCTTACAGACAGACCTATGGGAAAATATATGTATATGCATTTTGTTATGAACCACTTAAAATTTCATATAGATAGCATAGCTGTCAAAACCACACAAGAAAGAAAACAACCAGAAATTAACCTGCATAAAAAATACCATCTTACTCTTTCAGCCATGGACAAACTTTTTACCACAACAGACCACACATCCATCACTACCTTAGGGATGCCAGCTTCCACCTCTTGCATTGCCATAAATCTAATAAGAAAGAGTGAGCCTTGCATATTGGAGAGCAGAGTAAAGAAAGGTGTAGTCAAATCTTAACATAACAGAAGCATGATCCAGCACATTGACATTTGCACATAAAAGTGTGCATTTTAATCCATCTAATTCCTAACATATATAGTAATATACTGAATATGAGTCATGTAGCCCAACTTCTAATCAAAGGGCACACTCATATTTCTGATGGAGCTGGCAGAGACTACATGAACGACATCAACAGAAATATCAATGGGATGTGTTATTCTTAGCTTTCATAAGAATTACAGATAAGCAGAAAGTTAAAGGAAAGTGTCATTTCATCTCACAAGCTTGTCTACCCAAGGTTGCCTTCCACAATCATCAACACAACAACCAATGTATCATCTGATTATCAGAAGAAGCTAATCAAGTTGAAAGAGTGAAAAATAGATCCTACTGGCAAGAATATATAGAGTAGGGTGGGCTTGGGGACTGGTCTACATATTTTGGTACCTAAATATGTAACCTAATTTTCAGTGGAGTTGAGCACTCACAAGTTACACTGAGCTGAGGGGAGTTGAAGGTGACCAGCTATTCTGAAAACCAGATCACTTTTATTTAGTTTCCTGAATATGGATTTAGGTGCCTAACTCTAGGCATGTCAAAATTCTTAAATTTTGACTTTAGTCAATAGTGTCTACTATACAAGCAATTTTACCAGTTTCAGCTTTGTCTCAGTCCTTTTGGCAGTGGGCATCAGAGAGGAGTGAGTTTGCCCAAGGATTTTTGTAGGCTCCAAGATGGCATCGTTAATAGGTAAAGCCACTCAAGCAGGACACACAGTATGCAAAATATCCACTAACTTGTGTGGATTGCCCTGGACTAGTACTACCTGAAAACCAAGGGAGGTAGCTATAGTCTTCATAAGTTCATGTTATGTTATATAATCATCCAAAAATGGGGAGAATCATTCAGAGACAGTGGCTGCATTCAGGGAGAAGCAAATGGGTAGATAAGCACTGTAGTGTACCTCTGTTCTGCAGTCTCCTGAATCTTTGCACTGGACCGGTTAGCTGAAGGAAACAACTGAAGAAAGCACAACCTCTGCTTCTGGGTACTGGGATCGGTACTGAGATTGGTATCAGGTACAGTATATTGCCTTGATGAAGATTTATTGGTACATGGTGTGACGTTATATGATTAAAATATAACCATGTAGATCATTGTTGCTACCACTGTTATATAATTGCAACAAATCTTGTACAAAGTGTGTCAAGTAAGGTGTCAATAGAAAAGTTTTGGTTTGCAGAATATGATTATCTTATTTTTATGCATGTATCCTTTTTGTATCTGAAGTTATGAATATTGATTATGTACCTGTATTTCAAATACGTTTGCTCCAGTGGTATCACCCACAGGGTAATTTTCATCCAGTCTGGCCAGCATATTGTGAAGCAATTTGAATGGCCCATCAAAGAACACTTAACTCACAATGGACCATAGAAGAGGCTTATCCACACCTGATGGACTTTCTTGTGAACGTTCCAGAGTATGGATAATGGCCTCTGCTATGACTCAGCAAAGCATGCAATGGCATGTGACTAGATCATGTGACCAGATCATGTGACCCTAAACGCCATCTTGTTACCTGTATTTTTCCACAGACTGGGCTGAGGGCTTTGTTTCGAACAATGGGTTTCCCTCCACAGGGCCGAAGCTATAAAAGTCCCTGGACACATTTCCATTTTGCCTCTTTCCTGCTCTGATCTCTGAACTATCGACTTATCCTAATGGGAGCATTTAAACCAAGGGACTGAGGACCTTCCAATCATTTGGGAGCATCCAGAGACTTAACAAACCAGCAGTTTATTTCATCGCTGCTTCAAGCCTGATCCAAGAACCTTGCAATTATTGTATGTATTTGATTCCTTTAGCCAATTTTAACTCTCACCTCTTTCTTTCTTTTTATAAATAAACCTTTAGATATTAGATACTAAAGGATTGGCAACAGCATGATTAATGGGTAAGATCTGAGTTATATATTGGGTATGTGGCTGGTTCTCTGGGATCAGAAGAACCCTTTGGGTGATGAGATTGGTTTTAAATAACTACTCATCATTAAGTCTAGTGTCTGGGTGTTGAATCCAGGACTGGAATACCTAAGAAGGCTGCATTTCTGACTTCTTGTTAGCCAATGTGGTGATACAGAAGTTTACTTTTGTTGCTGGATTGGTATGTCTTATGGAAGAATAATCACCAGTTTTGGGGTGTATCTGTCCTATTTCTCAGCAGCATGTCCTGAATTTGGTATTCTCAGTTGTGACCCACTGAGGCATGGTGACACATGGTCTAGGCAATGAGAACCTAGAGTCCAGAGAAACCCCACAAGAATTTCCAAAAATGCTACTATTGAAACAGATACAGTACTAGGGACCAGCTGCAAGGCATCCTGTCCCTGGACCTGCTCCTACAAGAATGATGGTACCCAGATTTTGATTTGTATGAAAAGGAACAAGGAGAGGCTCTAGTCCTTCTGTAATCGGATACTAATGAAATTCCTCCCATATCAGCAATGAATCTAAAACTGAGAGGGAAAGAAGGTCCCTGACTGCAACATAGGTCTTAGGTGTTGTACCTTTATGCTCTTTGTATGTGTGTATATATATCTCCTCAATATATGTTCCATTCTATATGCATCCAAAGAAGTGGGCTGTAGTCCACGAAAGCTTATGCTCTAATACATTTGTTAGTCTCTAAGGTGCCACAAGTACTCCTGTTCTTCCAAGAGCATAGTGTGTACCACAGATGAAATCAAAGCTGTTAAAGGTCCTGGCAATAGAGTCAATCTCAGTGGTACTGAAAGTGGTGCCAGAAGCAACAACTTGACATTGCTAGACAACAAATGCGGTATTGGGGAACATTTAGCTAGGGCTGGCTTATTTCTAAACTCAGTACCAGACTTTTTTCTGTGAGTCTCTCTCAGTGACCTGGCTCTCCAAAAGGAATTGGACTTCTTCTGGCTGGGGGCATTCAAAGTGTCCATCTTCTGGTGTTTACACAGTACCAAAGAAGGAGAATGCCTTTTGTCTGGTTCCCTCTCATGAGGGATCCCTCCAATTCCAGCAGTGCATTTTGAGATAGAGTAGAATGTGAACCCCCATGTACTGGCTGGATTCCAAGTGAGGGTGCAAAGCTGCCTCCATCAGGATATGGTGAAAATGAACTTACCTGAACTTTTTGGCCTTTGTCTTAAACCCTCTACAGAAAGGGCACTTCTGCCTTACATGACCTCTCCTAAATACTTTAAACATCTAGAATGAGGGTTAATAACTGGCATAGGTACATTACAGACAGAATAGAGTTTAAATCCTAGGTATTTAGACATACTCCTGTACTGAGCTTTAAGCCTGAAGAATATTATATAGATAAATTTTTAAAAAAATAAACAAATTTCTAAAACAAGTACCATAAGCTATCCCTGTAATCAACTAACAAACCATGTACAATAGAAACTAGAAAAAAATTCTCTAAGAGAAGGGAAAAAGTGTGACAAGCACACACATTCTCCCATTACCAACTACGAACAGTAAAAAGGAACCGAAGGGGATTTTCCCCTTTATACATTTAGTTAGCAGCATGAGTGTGCAGGGGGCTCAGGCACTATCCCAACAGGTACCATTCTGAGAAAAAAGTTTTCTGACTTCAGTGCACTGGCATGCACATACCTAATGTGGAATGGACATGTGCAAGCACTCAAAGAAGAAACTATGTACCCTCTGCATGAAGGTCTCTTTAGGAGATGCTCAGGACTCAAGTCTAGATGGCCTGCTTCTTCTGGGGGGCAAGTTGAGAGAGGAAGATAAGTGGGAGAGAGGCCCCCGCCCTCCAACTCAATAAAAATATCTAGAGGAAATTCCACAAATGGAATATTGTGGCATTTTCCAACCTCACCCAAGGGTTCCTCCCATGAATTTTTCCAACATGGAGAATATAATTAGGCCCAATAGCTTCTGTTGTTATTACTACTACTATTTTGAAGATGACAGGGAAAAACAGCAAAGAACAAACTAGGGGAAATCTGTCTAACACCCACCCCTGGAAAGCTCTTTAAAGTGTTTTGGTACTTAGTTGTGTTGTTGGTAAACCACTCTTTGAATTTAAAAATAAAACTTCTTTGTTGTACACAATAAGCTAACAAATATGAGATTATCTGCTGTCAATTGGAAAAAAATCTCCCCGTTATTCAATATTAGAGTTGAATGTTCAGATGTAAACAAAGATAAAAACCATCATGCTTACAGAGAAATTCTACCAATAACTCATTTTTATAGGTAAGATACAATAAATTATATTAGAGGTGGAAATTAAATACTTGTTTTTTTAAAAATGGTGCTATGTGATATACCTAAGTGTCATTTTGTGAAGTTGGAAAACCAGAAGTAGGATATCTTTAAATTAGCCTTTAGGAATAGTCAGATGCTTGTGGAAGACAAGAGTTTTAGCCAGATTAAAAAGCTGAAAGTTGACAACACAATCATCTGGGTACACTTGATGAAGTAGGGCTTGTCTACACAGTAACTTAGTCCACACCAGCTGAGGTATAAATTGTAATGCACAACGATGTTGCCCACACTAACTGGCCTGGCCCACATGGATCCTAGCACACCAAAAGTTCTTTAGTGTGTGTTAATGTAGTCCTGTTTCAAACAGTAACATTATCACACAGTAGGGAACTTTTAGTGCATGCCAGTAGGGTCCAGTTGGGCCAGTTAGTGTGCAACATGCTGGTGCAAAGTAAAATTTACACCCCAGCTATTGTGGACTAAAGCACCTTAGAGACTAAACAATAGAAAAACAACAATTTTAAGAATGTTGGAAATGAAAAGTGGCAGAAATACTTAATTCTGCTTTTGAACATCCAAATTAATTAGATAAGGAAATGAAAAACTCTCAATAATAAGGGCTTTGAAGAGCACAGAATTATTAAAACTTCTCAATAGGAGTGGTGAGACTTATATTCATTGTCTCCTAGTGCCCAACCCACTAGGGCCCACTTTCCTCTAGGTGAACGGGACTTTTAATGAGGGAAAGCAGGAGCAAAAGGTTCTGCAGCAGGATCCATCCAGAAGTTCAGGTCTGTGTGGCTGTCTCGGAACAATACAGAAAGCTCAATGAAGCCTGGGAGCAAATGCAGTGCAGTTGGAACATTCAGAAAATTATGGGGTCAACTGATAAATTCTACTGAGCATGTACAAATGGTGACTTTTTGCAGATTTTAACTCTTCCAAATCTGGGCAGATTTTTACAACTACCAGCAAGATGCCATTCTGGTCTCAGGACTATCCCCCTGCCAAATGTCAAGACTTTGCCTTTCTTGCAAATCACTACCTAATTCTTAAAAATGGCCAAACAGTTTTTTTTCTTCAGTTTAAAAAAAAAAATTTTTTTTAATTTAACAATTGACAACAATAAGCGTTTGGTGACCTTAATACAGAAGTCACTACTGCACTACTTATGTTTTTCTTTTTCTAAAATAGAAAGATGTGTAATTTTGTTAGTGAGAAAATAACACTTAAATTAGAAAAATCACTGGGAGAAAAAGAGGGAAGATATTTTCTAATAAGAGGTTTTCTATTAGAAGTGGAAAATTGTGATAGCTGAAGTTCAGAGACAATTGTCATATTATTCTGAATATTAGTTGCATTTTCAAAAGAAGAAATAATAGTAGAACATTTTAATGTTAAAATTGATTCAATAATATACAGATCTACTTAAAATCTAACTCAGAGCACTGGAAAATATCTTAAGAATCATATTAGAAATAATGGGTTAACAAATGCTTGGAGATGGAAACACAATAGAGAACAACTATACTTTTCTCATTAATTCTTACCAAATACACTTAAAATTAGATTAGCTCTTTTTAAATCAAAGGTAAAGATCTAATAATAAAGACATTACTTGGAACACAGATTGGGCTTTAAATGGGAACTTAACGCATTATTATAGGATGTAATAATAAGTAATATTCCTGGAGGCATCTCCCATAACATAAAGTGGGTATCAGAAATAATTAAACAGCTTTAAAAAGCACTAGACAGAGAAGGAGTGAACAAATTAATGAAGGAATTGTTAGAGTTAGAAAGAGAACAAGTGGAAAGATATAAAATGGTCTTCTTTTAGATAGAGGTATCAAGATATTTGCTAAGTAGACTTTCAAAGTCTATAGCAGGAGTTAATCTTTGCAATCATTTCAAACAGTGGTGGCCCTTTCAATTTATGCATAAGAGTAATGGCGAATGAAAGAAAAAATTATAAAACTTTTTGTGAACTTGTAAATTCCTTTTTTTTTTTTTACATTGAGATATACGAGCAGGTATCCTTATCTGTGCTGTAACATCTTTCCATGAAATGCCATGTTCACAAAGTTTCACTGATGAAATTTCAGTAATTTCTGGCAGGTGATGCTAGTCTTATTTAAGATATCTGAAACCCTTAATCTTGTTGAATGCTAGACTGAAACAAGGGAAGAAGAAGCAAAAGAAAGCCTTTAAAAATAAAAAAATAAATAAAAAGAGCTATTGTCCAAATCCCTGCCTTTCCCCTGGAAAGGAAGTAGGGGGAAAGCAGAGATTTTAATACATTTGGCTCTCGCTTAGAGACTCTGATTATGGTTGCTAGGATACTGGTCAAAAAGGGAACCTGGCAGTGTCTGGTTAGCACTGCTGACCAGACACTAAAAGCCCGGTTACTTGCAGTAACTGGTCTCCGCCACCAGGGCGACAGGAAGTAAAGCAGCTGCAGTTGGAATCTGGAGGAGCAGTGGAGCATCCAAGAATGGCTCCAGCAGAGAGAGGTACCAGCAGCTCCCCCATCCTGCCCCAAGCGTAGCTCTCCCTGCCCCACTCACCCTTCCACCCCCAAAGCATGGCTCTCCCTGCCCCATCCTGCCTCACTCACCCCTCCACCCCTGGAGCGCAGCTGTCCCTGCCTCAGTCAACCCCTTTCTCCCGGAGCCCGTCTCTCTCTCCAATGTCATGCCCCAATCACCCCTCCTTCCCTACAGCCCTGCTCAGCTGACAGAGGGAGGGTGGTGGAGAAAGCAGTGAGCAGTGGGAGTGGGGGAGAGAAGAGGCACGGTGGCAGGGCCTCAAGGGAAAGAGGTAGAGCAAGGGGCGGGGGAGATTCTGGCACTCAGTGTCCAGTTTTCACAGCTTAGAAAGTTGGCCACCCTAACTGTGGTAGTTCTTTGTCTTGGACTGTCTCAGTCATGAGAAACTGACTGTCCACTCCAGGTCATTTTAAATGGATCGCAATCCATCTTGTCAGAATCTCTCAGAATCTTAGTGAGTATGCTAGGTCAATTACAGTTCAAAAATAGTATGTTTATTTTACTGTGTGTGAGAACAGTTATTTATTGATACTAATATATTTTGGCTAGCTCCAATCATCCTTCAATGTACTGGGATCTTGCACAATTGTAAAAAATGACAAGGTCAAGCAGCTTCAGCAATTGGCTGAGAGGCCTGCAACAGAAGTGCTGCTGAAAGAGATGGTATGTTTCAGTATGTCTGTACTCTTTTCATGAGATAGTACTGAATCAATATCTTAGGACAATATTAGAAACAAATATATTGTTGGAGGTGCCTCCTTTTCAATATGTCATAAAACCGAGGACTTGAGATTATTTCATATGATATGGCACCTTTGTGGTTATGTCTGACCAGTGCTGAGTGTATAAGTGCTATTATTGTTAGACAAATTTCAGCACAGCTAGTTGCAATATGTCTATCAAAATGCCCTCTGCAATTTCTGTTTCAGTACACTAGTCCTCTTTTTCTGTCCTATATTGTTATACAGTGTTATTGCATACCGTGAAAAAGCTGCTGTGTTACAACATAAGAGTGGCTGCATCTCAGCGGTAAGAAAAGTTTTCCCTCTATGTGCTGTAACTATTTCACAAAACTGTTGTGAGTCTTATTGAATGTTTGAAATGCTTAGTGATCCCCAGATGAATGGCCATTATAGGACTGCAAATTATTAATTCTTATAGTGCAAATAAATTCTTCATATTAATATACATATAACTTTAGAAAACATTTCCATTAACTTTTTTTTAAATAGGCATTACTTTTTCAATCTATGAAGGACTTCCTCTTTAATGGTGTAACAAAAATAAGACTATTTTACCTTTATATCCCTGGTCTGTCTCCCTGAGATCAATCACAGTAATTGGTTTAAAATTTAAATCCCATAGACGAACACAGCCATCCCTGCCACCAGTGGCAAAACCCTCCTCACATGCATTCATGCTGAAAATTCCTGCCTAAAAAGAAGAAAAAAAAAGTTTAAAATATGCAGTTTACAGTTACTATTATGCAAAGCAAAATTCTTCTTCATAGTGATAGAAATATTTTCCCTTTTGTTATATCGTAGAAGGCAACATAAATTATACAAGTACATGTTTTATAATTGAGTCAGAATAAATGTAATAATTAAAGAACAATTTTTAGTATTATGGATTTTCTCCCAATGTTGTAATGGAAATGAAAGTGGTACAAAAAGAACTTCATAAGAACATAAGAATGGCCCTAATGGGTCAGACCAAAGGTCCATCTAGCCCAAGATCCTGTCTTCCGACAGTGGCCAGTGCCAGATGCCCCAGAGGGAATGAACAGAACAGGTAATTATCAAGTGATCCATCCCCTGTCACTCATTCCCAGCTTCTGGCAAACAGAAGTTAGGGACACCATTCCTGCCCATCCTGGTTAATAGCCATTGATGGACCTATTCGCCATGAATTTATCTAGTTCTTTTTTGAACCCTGTTATGGTCTTGGCTTTCACAACATCCTCTGGCAAGGGGTTCCAAGGTTGACTGTGCATTGTGTGAAGAAATACTTCCTTTTATTTGTTTTAAACCTGCTGCCTATTAATTTCATTTGGTGACCCCTAGTTCTTGTATTATGAGAAATAGTAAACAATATTTCCTTATCTACTTTCTCTACACCAGTCATGATTTTATAGACCTCAATCATATCTCCCCTTAGCCGTCTCTTTTCCAATCTGAAAAGTCACAGTCTTATTAATCTCTCCTCATACGGAAGCCGTTCCATACCCCTAATCATTTTTGTTGCCCTTTTCTGAATCTTTTCCAATTCCAATATATCTTTTTTGAGATGGGGCGACCACATCTGCACACAGTATTCAAGATGTGGGCATACCATGGATTTATATAGAGGCAACATGATATTTTCTGTCCTATTATCTATCCCTTTCTTAATTATTCTCATCATTCTGTTCTCTTTTTTGACTGCCGCTGCACAATGAGTGGACGTTTTCAGAGAACTATCCACAATGACTCCAAGATCTCTTTCTTGAATGGCAACAGCTAATTTAGACACCATCATTTTATATGTATAGTTGGGATTATGCTTTCCAATGTGCATTATTTTGCATTTATCAACATTAAATTTCATCTGCCATTTTGTTGCCCAGTCACCTAGTTTTGAGAGATTCTTTTGTAGCTCTTCGCAGTCTGCCTGGGTCTTAACTATCTTTAGTAATTTTTTATCATCTACCACCTCACTGTTTACCCCTTTTTCCAGATACTTTATGAATAAGTTGAATAGGATTGGTCCTAGGACTGACCCTTGGGGAACACCACTAGTTACCCCTCTCCATTCTGAGAATTTGTCATTTATTCCTATCCTTTGTTCCCTGTCTTTTAACCAGTTCTCAATGAAAGGACCTTCCCTTTTATCCCATGACAACTTAATTTACGTAAGAGCCTTTGGTGAGGGACCTTGTCAAAGGCTTTCTGGAAATCTAAGTATACTATGTTAGGGTTACCATCCGTCCGTATTTCCCCGGACATGTCCGGCTTTTGCGTCTCTAAATAGGCATCCGGTAGGAATTGGTAACAAGGTTAAAATGTCCGGGTTTTTTTTCTCTCTCACCTCCCTCCCTCCCTTCCATGCAGAATGCGGCTGCTGATTGGGCGGCTGGGCCGATTGAGCCACTCCCATTGGCCTCCAGCAGCCAGAGCCCTCCCCTGCTCCCCCCTCCCTCTGTCTGCAGCCCTGTGTAACACACAAACCGACCCACCGGGCAGCGTGTTTTGCCTACATTTTTTGCCAAAATGGTAAGGGGAGTCCGTTGGGTGGGGGCAGTCGGGGAGTGTTGGATGGGTCTCCGGCCTCCACCTGCCACCCCCCTCCGCGTGTGTCCCCCCCATCGGACCCCCCACCCTGCCTGCCTCTCCCTTGCCTGCTTCTACTGCCACAGCCAGCAGCAACTACTGTCTGCTGCCCCCGGGTCCTAGCGTCCCCCATCCACTAATGGGAAGACAGGCTGCCCTTACCCTGCCCTTCCACCCTAGCCCCGAGCCTCTCCAATGCCCCAAACCCCTCATCCCCAGCACCAGCCCTCATTCCCCCGCACCCTAATCCTCTGCCCCAGGCCTGAGCCCCCTCCTGCATCACGAACCCCTCATCCTCAGCCCCAACCCTCATCCCCCCACACCCTAATCCTCTGCCCCAGGCCTGAGCCCCCTCTTGCATCATGAACCCCTCAGCCCCAGCCCTCATCCCCCCACACCCTAATCCTCTGCCCCAGCCCTGAGCCTCCTCCTGCATCATGAACCCCTCATCCCCAGCCAGAGCCCTCATACCCCCACACCCTAATCCTCTGCTCCATCCCTGAGCCCCCTCCTGCATCATAAACCCCTCATCCTCAGACCCCTCATTTGTAAAATAGAGATAAAGATATTAACTTGTCTAGTTAGTTTATAAACTCTTCAGGGAAGAGACATAATGTATGATTGTACAGGGACTACCACAATGGGATCCTTATTTCACTGGTGACCTCTTTGTGCCTCTGTAATATAAGACAATTCCTCGTCATCAGCTCAGGCTAAATT